ATTTAATAAAGTAATGGATGCCATGGGTCGGCCAGTAACCCCCAAAGAGAGAACAAGAGGAACCCCTCTTGCAGACAACTATGGGTGGGGGGGGGGCGTGCGGGTATAGTGAAAAAAACTGATATTATCCATAAAGCGTCAGCACAGCCAACGGGGGGTTGGGAGTGCTTTTCGCAGTTGTCTGGAGAAAACCTTGAGGACCAAGGTGGCGCTTCACCGCCTGGCCCAAAACCAAGAAAGCACAGTCGGTCTATAAAGGCATGGCCTCTCTGTGGTATATTTCACATTAGATGGGTGTAGTTTGCGATAAAACGGCCGCCAGGTATGATTCGAAGGCCTCATTTTTAGAGGGGGATTTGACCTGCAGAAATATGTACGATCTTCCACCGTCGCTCAGCGCAAGGTGATCTCGTAGAGTTTGCTCGGTTCCAAATTCCCACAAACGCAAAGAAGAAAAATGACACACAATTACGGGAGCTTTTTGTCTGGGGCCGCCAGATTTATAGCCCATATAAACAGCACCACGGTGGCTAAAAATAGACGTTTGGATTGCTAATATCTGAATTGGTGAGCCTCGCAAAAGCGCGAAGGCATCGGAAACGACCGTTGCGCAAAAGATGGCCAAGGGCAGCGCAACAGTAAGGGAACCAAAAATCTCCACCAAACAATGTGAATCCCTCGGGACGTGGCTGAACCAGCGGGCAAAGGCAGCCCCCCTCAGCGATAAAATGATAAACAAACTGAGAGGCGCCACGCCCCAGAAAGTGGCACAGCGGGAGTAGTACAAATTTTAACTTTCCTGCGCACCCGCCGCGCGCGTCATGCGCGAAGTCTGTTTTTAGATACTGTTTCTTTCTTAAAAAATAGTACGCTGGCGAATGTTGCGACCCAGCTGTGGGCTGGCAAAATTCAAAGGCGTGGCTGTTTTACGCCCACAAGGTTTGGCGGGAACGACCCGGTGCATTATTAAAGGGCGCCCCCGGCCTAATTTTTCTTTTTCGATATGTAAAAAAGTGCGATCAGTGAGGCTCGAACTCACGACCTTGGGATTATGAAACCCACGCGCTGCCGACTGCGCCATGCTCGCTTNTTGGCGGGGGGGGGGCAGGGCGTGCGTTGGGGTGGGCCCCTTTTCTTGTTTTGAAAGCCGGGTGCCGGGCTGTTGGTTCGGCGTCGAGGGCGTTCGGGGCAAAATTTTGCCGGCTACCCCATTGCACGTGCGCATTGCAAATGCAGCAGATGTGGCCATAATAAAGGTACGCAATACACAACCAGGCGCGCTGCTGCGTAATGCTGCGCGAATGAATGGGATTTTAGGGGAGCAAAGTCTGTAAGCCACTTGGGCTATGCGTTTTCGGAAAGTGATCCCTTTCGCGGGATCCCGAGCGGCGTTGAGAAATTGCGCAAAAAGATAGCAAATGGGTGGAACCTCGGCAGTAATGCGCCGGAAGTGAGTTTAAAACTTTTTTTACACCTCTCTTTTCTCTGTTTAAAAACAGCCTGTCTCCCTGTGTCTGGTATGGGGTCTTTCCTTAGGGTTTCCATCAATAAATAATTCGAAATTACCATATTAACTGAAAAACACAAATGGTCAGATAACAAAACTTTTTGGCCTCTCTCCCTCTTGGTCTATAAATTAAAGCTTAAAGCTTATACTATTCCAAATTTGAAAAAAAAATACTCCTGGTTCTTTTAATCAGACTGTCCGCCTCCCAAGGCTTACGTTAAATGTCACCACTATGAGGTGATCTCCAGCAAACAAAGGATCGCCTTCCAGCACAGAACGCATTTTTTACATCGTCCAGATAATCTGCCACATCGAAATAGTAGGGCACGACACCGCTCCTTATTACTAAAAAGCCAGCCCGCCCTCTTGCATACGGAAGGCTGTCAGCAATAACCCTTGCATCATTTACTGTTCAGAGTTCCCTGGTAGCACGGCGGTGTGTTGGCATGTCGGTGTTGGAGAGCACCTCCGCAACGAGAAGCACTCTCAATGTCAGTTGCTTAATTACAAGAAATGTTTGGCTACGCTCGACCACCTTTTTTTGGTATGGAGATAGCATCTTGCGATAAGGTGCGTTTGTAGGAGAAAGGCATATTTCTCTGATTTTGATACCTCTATTCACGGTAATCTTCCAAAACCCCAAAGGGCAAAAACGGCACAATCAACCAAATCAACAAAAGAAGTTTGTTATTCTCTTGACCGCCAAACCAGTTCAGCTAAGTCTTTCCGATTCTGAATCATTCACTGACCAATTTACACTCGACATGCAAAAGTCGAGCGTTTGAATCTTACACTCCAACACCCCGCAGCCATATTTACCAATTTCTTCTATTTCACGTAGCCCTTTAGCGCAAAAGTACTCCCGCACCAAGATGCCGTCAGCCGGTTTCAGCTGGTTGCGCATATGAGATAGACCACGCAAATGTTTCATTTCTTAAGCAATCCCTAGGTCTGAAGAAGTTCCCATGACAAGGCATAGAATTTCGCAGTGCCTTGTTGGCAGTGCTATGAACCGAAGTGCTTTTCACTCACATTTCCAGAATTGGGGTTAATATATCTTTTAAAGCACACAACACCAACCGGACTGCAAGAGCATCGGCTTGCATGGTGGGCTACAGGGGTGCAATCCAACGGTCCACCGCGGTTTTGTTTACCCCAGAGAATGGGCAAACAAACCGCACCCCAGCCGTTTGCCGGCGCATCGGTTATGCATGCTGCCGTTATCTCCCACCGAAAGTGTGATAGCCCTTCGGTTGTTATTCATTAACCTCGAACGCAGTGCACTCCCAACCCCCATCGCCGACAGGGGAACATGAGCCGTCTGATGGGATATACGCCATTCCGCCATTCAATGGCGCTATCCTATATCGAACATTTTTCGCAAAGAAACAGCATTGAAGCAATCGCGTGCCGAGCCCGGTGGCAGCGTGCAGGAATCGGGGCACCAAAACTCCCATGCATGCGGCCGCTTTTTTCACCCTGTTGTGGAATAACCCCCAAAGGCCTCGGGCATTTTTCACTGAACCCAACGGAGTTATCTTCACATATAAAGTGGAACGAAGAAGAAGGTGTGCGGATGGACCGCTTGTCCCCATTCATTGCGCCACGCCCAACCGCGCATAAGCAGACCTTGCCTTCCCATGGGGGAGCATCCTGCCGCCTGCCTCGGGGGGTGGGTGTTATTTATCCATCCGTCCGCTCGGATGTTGGAGGGCGCTGCCCATTTCCTGGGCCACCTTTTATCCCATGGGCGTGGCCAGGCCAATTTCACGACAGGGCCTTCCGCCATTCGACACCGAAACGGGCGCCACATTCCCGCCGATAGGGCAATCTTAACGAATGAAGCCGCCCCCGGCAAATATTCCGAGACGTAACATAATAGGCGGCCCGCTTCTTAGGGATTTTCCGAATTCTTCCCCCGCAGCCATGCAGTCCATCGACGCCGCGCCGAAGCCGGCTTATATTCCATAGCCCCAAAAGGAATAGGTCACTGCCCCGCTCTCCTTGGACGGGGCGCCTTGTGTGCTTCCAGCCTTCCGGGGGAATCGGGCGCCTGCTATGGGTACCCTGCGTGTGTTTTATTTTCCATTTTCGCGCGGGCGGCGCTGTAAGAGCCCCTAAACCCATTCGAAGTGTGCACACGATGTTGGATTCAATCGGCCCAGCAGCAACACGATGCCCAGAACAGGAGCGCCGACCTGCTGTAATGAAATGGGCGCCTCCCCTTCCGAAGTGGTAAGCTGCGTCGTGTAAATGCGGCGTGCGATTGCAGTCCCATTTCCAGGTGGTGGCTTTTCCCCCAGCAATGGGCAAGGCCCCAGCACCCCATCCATTTTTAGACACCACATCAAGGGCAGAAAATCCGACACCTTTGCTAATAATACCGCGTGCGTCCCCAGGTGCCGATCCTTGTTTTTCAGAGGATCGGGCTGGCCGGCGTGCTTCACCGATTGCGGGAGTGCGTGTGGGTCTCGGCCGTGCGCCTCCACTGAAGGCGCCGCGTCTCTGGGCGCCCCTTGTTTTATGGAGCGCGCAGTTTTTGTTCCACCGTTCCTGCCCTCAGTGTGGACAACCGTTCGCAGGACCTTATCAATAAGAGGGGTTGGGTCAGGCCCGGTGTTTCTCGACCCTGGATCCGCAGGCGTGTTGTTGCTCAATGGGGGCCGGTTTTGGGAACCACTTCCCTGTCGAGCGTTAATGCGCCATCCGTTTTGGTGCTGAAGCGGCCCCTTATCGACGTTGCAATCTTGGGCAGTCGGCCCGCCGCGATTCACGCAATCTGAAACACAATCCCCTCCTTCAAACCACCTCTTGCACGCATCGCCTGGCCCACTTCCTTCTTAGATAAAGGCCTCGCCTGCCTTTTTGCGCTGCTGGCGGAAATGATTCGCAGACCAAGGGTCGTCATATCCGAGGGCTGCGCGGTTCATCGTTAGCATCGCCCGCAACATGGGCACGCAGTGCGATCGTGCCACAGAGCCGATCGCCTTCANATTCGCAGACCAAGGGTTGCCATATCCGAGGGCTGCGCGGTTCATCGTTAGCATCGCCCGCAACATGGGCACGCAGTGCGATCGTGCCACAGAGCCGATCACCTTCAGTGAGAAAAAAAGGCAACACTCTCTTCGTTCACAGGCTGATTGTGTACTTGGAAAAGCGTTGTAAACCAACCTGCTAGTGAAACGTGTTGCCTCCAAGCGGACGAGGCCCGCATTTCTCTGGCCACCAAAGATTGCTTTCGCCAAACAACTGGGGCCCACAGGCGGGCGTTGT